TGTCTGTGTCTATATGTTTGGCTGTGTGTGTCTGTGTGTCTCTCTCTCCCTCTCTTTCTCTCTCTCTCTTCTTGCCCTCTCAACTCCCTCACCTTAGGACAGGTGTAGCATAATATCACACAAGCAGTTAATTAGCTCCAGGGAAGCGACCCTTGAGATTAATTTTTTGACAATAATATTTTCTGATATCTCTCTCTCTCTCTCTCTCTCTCTCTCTCTCTCTCTCTCTCTCTCTCTCTCTCTCTCTCTCTCTCTCTCTCTCTCTCTCTCTCTCCCTATCTCTCTCTCTCTCTCTCTCTCTCTCTCTCTCTCTCTCTTCTCTCTCTCTCTGCCCCACCACACTTTCGCCTGCAGTAGCTGTCCCTCTCAATGCTCAGCTTTTGAATATAATCTTTTCTCCCCGCTCCCCCCTCCCCAAGTCCTTTGCCAGGCCCCTGCCTTTGTGAGCAAGTTCTCGTGGCACGTTTCGCTTCTACAGCTCCCTGGCAGTCATTAAACACACACACACACAGACACACACACACAGACTGGAGTGTGTGTGACTAAACTAAAGACTAACCTGGAAAAGGTTCAAAGGTTTGCCACCAGGCTAGTACCCGGGCTGAGAGGTATGAGCTACGAAGAGAGACTACGGGAATTAAACTTCACGTCGCTGGAAGAGAGGAGAGTTAGGGGGGACATGATCGCCACGTACAAGATTCTCAGAGGATAGATAAAGACAGCTATTTAACACAAGGTGCACACGCACTATGGGACACAGGTGGAAACTGAGTGCCCAAATGAGCCACAGAGATATTAGAAAGAAACTTTTTTAGTGTCAGAGTGGTTGACAAATGGAATACATTAGGAAGTGATGTGGTGGAGGCTGACTCCATACTTAGTTTCAAGTGTAGTTGAGAAGCGGGACCAAAGAGCCAGACCTCAACCCCAGCAAGCACAAATAGGTGAATAGGTGAGTACACACACACACACACACGCACACACACACACACACACGCACACACACACACACATAGGCACAGGACAACTCATATGTACCCATTACGAGCGTGCCCGAGTGGTAATTGGAAGTTATAGGCAGCTGCCCGCCACCCAGCTCTGAATACTTCACCAAGTTGAGGAAAGAAATTGTTGGCAAAGTGGGAGATACAAGTAAAGATATTTTAATAGGGAAGAATTACTACATATTTTAATAGGGAAGAATTACTACATATTTTAATAGGGAAGAATTATTACATATTTTAATAGGGAAGAATTATTACCTGATATTTTAAATGGGGCAGCTTACACTTATTCATACATATATGAATCGTCCCCAACCATCATATTTATCAACAATATGCGAACAAGCCTGAATGGTCCCCAGGACAATATGCAACTGAAAACTCACACCCCAGAAGTGACTCGAACCCATACTCCCAGAAGCAACGCAACTGGTATGTACAAGACGCCTTAATCCACTTGACCATCACGACCGGACATAATGAGGTGATAGCCGAGGCTATTTGAACCACCCCACCGCCGGCACTCGGATAGTTATCTTGGGCATAGCATTTTACCAAATCACCTCATTCTTTGGGGCACACGTGAGGAACACAAATGCGAACAAGCCTGAATGGTCCCCAGGACAATATGCAACTGAAAACTCACACCCCAGAAGTGACTCGAACCCATACTCCCAGAAGCAACGCAACTGGTATGTACAAGACGCCTTAATCCACTTGACCATCACGACCGGACATAATGAGGTGATAGCCGAGGCTATTTGAACCACCCCACCGCCGGCACTCGGATAGTTATCTTGGGCATAGCATTTTACCAAATCACCTCATTCTTTGGGGCACACGTGAGGAACACAAATGCGAACAAGCCTGAATGGTCCCCAGGACAATATGCAACTGAAAACTCACACCCCAGAAGTGACTCGAACCCATACTCCCAGAAGCAACGCAACTGGTATGTACAAGACGCCTTAATCCACTTGACCATCACGACCGGACATAATGAGGTGATAGCCGAGGCTATTTGAACCACCCCACCGCCGGCACTCGGATAGTTATCTTGGGCATAGCATTTTACCAAATCACCTCATTCTTTGGGGCACACGTGAGGAACACAAATGCGAACAAGCCTGAATGGTCCCCAGGACAATATGCAACTGAAAACTCACACCCCAGAAGTGACTCGAACCCATACTCCCAGAAGCAACGCAACTGGTATGTACAAGACGCCTTAATCCACTTGACCATCACGACCGGACATAATGAGGTGATAGCCGAGGCTATTTGAACCACCCCACCGCCGGCACTCGGATAGTTATCTTGGGCATAGCATTTTACCAAATCACCTCATTCTTTGGGGCACACGTGAGGAACACAAATGCGAACAAGCCTGAATGGTCCCCAGGACAATATGCAACTGAAAACTCACACCCCAGAAGTGACTCGAACCCATACTCCCAGAAGCAACGCAACTGGTATGTACAAGACGCCTTAATCCACTTGACCATCACGACCGGACATAATGAGGTGATAGCCGAGGCTATTTGAACCACCCCACCGCCGGCACTCGGATAGTTATCTTGGGCATAGCATTTTACCAAATCACCTCATTCTTTGGGGCACACGTGAGGAACACAAATGCGAACAAGCCTGAATGGTCCCCAGGACAATATGCAACTGAAAACTCACACCCCAGAAGTGACTCGAACCCATACTCCCAGAAGCAACGCAACTGGTATGTACAAGACGCCTTAATCCACTTGACCATCACGACCGGACATAATGAGGTGATTCAGGCGAGGCGCATTTGTGTTCCTCACGTGTGCCCCAAAGAATGAGGTGATTTGGTAAAATGCTATGCCCAAGATAACTATCCGAGTGCCGGCGGTGGGGTGGTTCAAATAGCCTCGGCTATCACCTCATTATGTCCGGTCGTGATGGTCAAGTGGATTAAGGCGTCTTGTACATACCAGTTGCGTTGCTTCTGGGAGTATGGGTTCGAGTCACTTCTGGGGTGTGAGTTTTCAGTTGCATATTGTCCTGGGGACCATTCAGGCTTGTTCGCATTTGTGTTCCTCACGTGTGCCCCAAAGAATGAGGTGATTTGGTAAAATGCTATGCCCAAGATAACTATCCGAGTGCCGGCGGTGGGGTGGTTCAAATAGCCTCGGCTATCACCTCATTATGTCCGGTCGTGATGGTCAAGTGGATTAAGGCGTCTTGTACATACCAGTTGCGTTGCTTCTGGGAGTATGGGTTCGAGTCACTTCTGGGGTGTGAGTTTTCAGTTGCATATTGTCCTGGGGACCATTCAGGCTTGTTCGCATTTGTGTTCCTCACGTGTGCCCCAAAGAATGAGGTGATTTGGTAAAATGCTATGCCCAAGATAACTATCCGAGTGCCGGCGGTGGGGTGGTTCAAATAGCCTCGGCTATCACCTCATTATGTCCGGTCGTGATGGTCAAGTGGATTAAGGCGTCTTGTACATACCAGTTGCGTTGCTTCTGGGAGTATGGGTTCGAGTCACTTCTGGGGTGTGAGTTTTCAGTTGCATATTGTCCTGGGGACCATTCAGGCTTGTTCGCATTTGTGTTCCTCACGTGTGCCCCAAAGAATGAGGTGATTTGGTAAAATGCTATGCCCAAGATAACTATCCGAGTGCCGGCGGTGGGGTGGTTCAAATAGCCTCGGCTATCACCTCATTATGTCCGGTCGTGATGGTCAAGTGGATTAAGGCGTCTTGTACATACCAGTTGCGTTGCTTCTGGGAGTATGGGTTCGAGTCACTTCTGGGGTGTGAGTTTTCAGTTGCATATTGTCCTGGGGACCATTCAGGCTTGTTCGCATTTGTGTTCCTCACGTGTGCCCCAAAGAATGAGGTGATTTGGTAAAATGCTATGCCCAAGATAACTATCCGAGTGCCGGCGGTGGGGTGGTTCAAATAGCCTCGGCTATCACCTCATTATGTCCGGTCGTGATGGTCAAGTGGATTAAGGCGTCTTGTACATACCAGTTGCGTTGCTTCTGGGAGTATGGGTTCGAGTCACTTCTGGGGTGTGAGTTTTCAGTTGCATATTGTCCTGGGGACCATTCAGGCTTGTTCGCATTTGTGTTCCTCACGTGTGCCCCAAAGAATGAGGTGATTTGGTAAAATGCTATGCCCAAGATAACTATCCGAGTGCCGGCGGTGGGGTGGTTCAAATAGCCTCGGCTATCACCTCATTATGTCCGGTCGTGATGGTCAAGTGGATTAAGGCGTCTTGTACATACCAGTTGCGTTGCTTCTGGGAGTATGGGTTCGAGTCACTTCTGGGGTGTGAGTTTTCAGTTGGAAGATGACTCCTTATATATTCCTAAATATGTATGGTTAGCCTCACCCAACTTTGCATGGTTATCCCTGACCTTGGGATAACCAGAGATGAAATGAGAAAGTCTTAGTCGTGTAATATCACTTTGGATATAATGAGAAGGGGCAAAAGCCTTGTGCTTGTCACCTACGGTAAATAACAAGTCACTGAAGACGGTAAAAACTACCAAAGAGTTGGAAGACAGGCAATGCAGAGCCAATACTCAAAAAAAGGAAACTTACTCGAGACCAGTGTTCCCTACTTGCTTACCATGCAAAAAAGGATGGTAAATATAATAAAGAGCCGAGATATATTTGAAGAGCTGGGCCTTCACAGCACAACACCATTCGTGATCAACCAATAAAGAGAAAGTTTGGTGGACAGCAAGTTGACTTTCAAAAAGAATTGACATATGGAGGCACATGCATGCAGGAGCAGGAAATAAATGATGCTCCAGCGGATACAGGAGCACCTCTACAACAGGAAACAGAGAGTCGTAGTGAGAAGAGATAATTAAACGTGACAAAATATTACCAGTGGTTTCACACAACGGGTCAGTACAGGGGCCAGTCCACCAGTCAATTAATGGTTGAAAAGTAGGACCCAAGAGCCGCAGCTCAACTCCTACAAATACGCGAGTACACACGCTTACCTGCGTTGGTGCCGAGGGTGTGATCTGCGGAGGGTCCAGTGCCAGCCATGAAACTATTGCTGGGGCCCCTTTTCCTCACCCAGTCGAAGTCGTCGTGACGAACGTTGGACCAACCGCACAGGTCCTCGTTCTCGAAGTCACAGACCATCGCCGGATTCGCTGGAGCTGCGAACACGAACTATAAATTGACAACTGAAATTGGAAGTGAAACTGAGAGGTGGAAATGAGGTTGAAGAAAAAAGTTGAACTGAAGCTGAAACTAATGCACAGTGATGTACCTTTTGGGCAGTGCTATAGAGAACAGTACAGTTTCTTGGGGAGGGGGGATGGAAGCGTCGTGGCTGACTTTAATTTTGAGAACGGTGGTCCGACTCCACCAGGATCGATGAAGTATTTGAACGTTTGAAGTAAAAACTTACATAAAACTGGATGATAGCTTAGATTTGGAGTTGAAAATGTAGCAAACTGAGGTTGAATATAGCCAAAATGAACAGACGACAGAACCTCGCTCCGGACAGATAAACAGTCATGTAAATCCACAGAAAGACGCAAGAAACAACAACTGAGATAGAGATAGGTAGAGATAGCGAGTCTTACCAACACATGTGGGCGCTGTATGGTTCCAGTTGATGGCGTTGCACGATAGAGCAGGAGAACCTTGTAGATGGTACCCCGGATCACAGGTGAACAAGACCACTGCATTACGGTACAAGTATTCCCGCTGGCCGTGTTCAGGGGCAGCCACGTTTACACACCCGTGTCCTGGGGATAGGCGATAGAGAGAGTGCGTTAGTGTGTAGGGATGACGAGGAAGGAGAGATAGAGAGAGAGACAATGGGCTGGCCTCAAGGAGCGGAGGAAGTAGTACCTTACTCACGGCGAACGTCTCCAGCGTCTTCGACAAGCTGACTTTAGTGAACCTATACTGAAAAAATATATAAACTTCGGCACGCGAGAGATGGCAGTGAATATGTGTTTGAGTGTGTGAAGGGATACTAGTGAGTGCAAGAGCCTGTGTGAGCTGTGTGAATCAAGGAATTCAAAAAAAGTATTTCAATTTCAATTTTCCATTTCAAATTTCAATTTTCCATTTCAAATTTCAATTTTTAATTTCAATTCTCAGCTTTATTTTTTTGTTAATTTAATTTTTTAATTTTAATTTTTAATATTTAATTTCAATTTTCAATTTCAATTTTTAATTTCAATTTCAATTTTCAATTTTCAATTTTCAATTTCAATTTTCAATTTAATTTTCAATTTCAATTTTTAATTTCAATTTCAATTTTCAATTTTCAAATTAACTTTCAATTTCAATCTTCTCACGGACAAAACGGTGAGGAAACAAACACTTCACTTACACGGAGACACGTGGGTTACAAAAGTTGGTTTAGACTTAGGATAGGTTAAAGTTAGGGCCTGAAATAGATTAGTTTGCTTAAACAATACCCAAAAGATTTGTGCTCACCGACTTTATTCATTTCATTTTGGCAAAATATGAACAGTTATATTGGTGAAAAGTTGATATTTTCTCCATACTGGTCTCCGTCACACTGGAGAATGAGTTGGGTACTGTTGCTGGGGAAATGGGTTGGGTTTCTCTTATTGGGGGGGGGGGTATTCGGGGAAGAATTCCCCAGTATTCTTACTGGGGAAGAATTCCCCAGTATGAACAGGAAGTCAGAAGAAAATTCCCCAATAAGAACTCTTCTTAGGGGGTGGGGGGTTACTCTTATCCTCCTCTCTTGTTTTTCCTGTTTCTCGGTATCACATTTCTCCCACTCTTTTACCCATCCCATTATCTCACTCCCCCACATTCCTATCTTACTCTTCACACTCCTATCTTCCCACTCCAATTCCCCCACTCCCACCCCAACTCTTCGTCTCCCAGATTAAGCATAACAAATCAACGAACCCCTTGTTGTTTTTAGAAAATACATTGCAATTGCACTGGAAGTCATTATGAGACAAGTGATGGGTGGGAATTGGGAGGGGGGGGGTATGGTGCTGAAGGAGGAGAGGTGGGGAAGGGGGGTTGAAGGGGAGGAGTGTGGGACGTAGAGAGAGGAGAAGCAGGCTGAAGATAAAAATGAGGAGAGAAAAGGACATGCAAGAAGGTATGTTAAAGAGAAGAGATAATGGCATAAAAAATAAATTAATGCAAATTGGGGAAATGAGGTGGTTTATGAGGAGGTAGAGACGTGTGATGAGAATATATCAAGAAGAAGAGACACTCAAGAGACCAATGAGGTAGAATCATCAACTCAATAAATGGGTTTGCGACACGAGGAGTGACAAAGAGAGAGAGAGAGAGAGAGAGAGAGAGAGAGAGAGAGGGAGAGAGAGAGAGAGAGAGAGAGAGAGAGAGAGAGAGAGAGAGAGAGAGAGAGAGAGAGAGATGAGAGAGGATGGGAGGATGGATATAAGATATGTTTCTGATAAAGAGAGGGTATAACGAAGGAAGAATGGGAGGGAGGAAGGGGACGGGTATTTATGAGGAATAAGAGAACAAATCTGTGATAAAGAGGAGATGAAGGAAGGATATGAAGGAAAGACATAAAGAGCAGAGAGGATGAGAGGCAAATTAGAGGAGGAGGAAGTTGTGATGGAGAGAGGAGATAAGAGGGAGAGGGGGGGAAGAAAACAGAGAGATAAGAGGGAGTTGAGAGGGAGGAGACTAAGAGTGCCAGTGACACTTCCCCTCAGGGATGAAGCGGGTCGCTGGGGAAGGGAGTGCCAGAGAGAGTATTGGTGGAGTGGGAGAGGGAGGGATGGAGAGAGATGCGAGCGGGAAAGGAGGTAGAAGGGGAGAGGAGAGAGAGCAGGGAGATGAGAAACAGATGACGGAAGAATGGAAGAACAAGAGATGGGGTTAGCGTTAGCTCTTGAGACCTGCTTTTGTGTGTGTGTCTGTATTCACATAGTTGTATTCACCTATTTGTGCTTGCGGGGGTTGAGCTCTGCTCTTTCAGCCCGCCTCTCAACTGTCAGTCAATCAACTGTCACTAACTACTAACTAATTTTTTCCTCCTCACACACACACACACACACACACACACACACACACACACACACACACACACACACACACACACACACATATACACAGGAAGCAGCCCGTAGCAGCTGTCTAACTCCCAGGTACCTATTTACTGTTAGGTAACAGGTCCATCAGGGTTAAGGAAACTCTTCCCATCTGTCTCCGCCGGGTGCGGGGATCAAACCCCGGTCCCTAGGTCCACGAGTCTAGAGCGCTGTCCACTCGGCCACCCAGCCCCTGTGTGTATGCGCGCGTGTGCGTGTACTTAACTAGTTGTACCTACCTAGTTGTGCTTGCGGGGATTGAGCTTTGGCTCTTTGGTCTCGCCTCTCAACCGTCAATCTACTGGTGTACAGATTCCTTAGCTTCTCGAGCTTTATCATATCTACATATGAAAATCTCAATGAAGTCAGCCTCCACCACATCATTTCCTAGTACATTGCATTTACTGACAACTCTGACACTGAAAAAGTTATTTTTAATGTCCCTGTGGCTCATTTGGGTACTTAACCTGTGTCCCCCTTGCGCGTATTAAATAATCCATCCTTGTCTACCCAGTCAGTTCCACTGAGAATTTTGAATGTTTTGATCATGTCTCTCCCGAGCTCTCCTGTCTTCCAGCGACGTGAGGGGCAGTTCACGCAGCCTTTCCTCGTGGATCATGCCTCTTAGTACTGGGACTATCCTAGTGGCATACCTCTGAACTTTTTCCAGCTTCGTCTTGTGCTTGTCAATAAACGGGCTCCATGCTGGGGCCGCATACTCCAGGTTTGGCCTTACATATGTGGTATACAAGGTTCTGAAAGATTTCTTACACAGGTTTCTGAAGGCAGTTCTGATGTTAGCCAGCCTCGCATACGCCGCAGATATTATTCTTCCGATGTGGGCTTCAGGAGACATAATGGTGTGATATCAACTCCCAGATCTTTCCCTCTGTCCATTTCATGAAGGACTTCATCTCGTTCAGTATCCTGTGTCTGGCCTCCTATTTCCTCCCGCCGTGGAAATAGGCGGGAGAATAGGTATAATAGGCGGATTTTCCACACACACCCTTTGTGTTTGTTTTTGTGTGTGTGTGTGTGTGTGTGTGTGTGTGTGTGTGTGTGTGTGTGTGTGTGTGTGTGTGTGTGTGTAGTCCTTTTACTAGCTGCCTCTTCGTACAGTTCAATCCATTTTCTCTTACGCTAAAGGAGTGTTTTATCACATCTCTTTTCCTCGTGAGTGTCCAGCATCCAACCCATTCCATCTTGTTATATTGATATTTATTGCACCTATTTTCTCCTTTCCTATCCTTTCCATTCGCCTCTTTTTATATTTTTCAGTCATACATTCTTCCTCTTTCTCGACTAGGAGGGTTAGAGCCAGTTAAAGCAGACTTATCCCCAGTACACATCTCAAGAACCTTGATGAGATCTTCAATGTCTTTTTCGATTTGTCTGATACATAATGGTCCAGGACGGACCGAAACGTCGTCCCTTCTCTATTTTCTGAGTTGAGATTTGGTCATCACTTCTTGGAATATTCTTCGTTTTCCGTAACCACTGCCTAACCCTCAGTGAGCAAAACATTCAAGAGCAACACCAATTCAGCGCCGAATCAACATCTTCAACGCTAAATCAATGTCTAATCAACGTCACATTTGGATATTGTGCCTACTGGCAAGATATTGTCTTGATTGTTCCGCAAGATATGATAATTTAGAAACCAGTCATGTCATGCGTTTGAAGGTATTTCGCTATTGAAAGTTCTAATATTGAAACTCTGGTTCGTGCGGTCGACTGACATCATTGTCTTGACAATTGGTGTGCACAATTAATCCTATTGTATGTGTTAAGTTACAAGATCTCTCATCATACTTATAAATAGGGAAGATTAGTTGTAAATTGATTATAAATGGGTACGAATGATCTAAAATTTGATCATACGGTGGTGTAAATGTCCTAATATCTTACCATAAGTTGGTTCGGATGTTTTAAAATCTTATGATACGATTGTTCAGATGAGCTAAAATCCGATATATATGGTAGTTTTGATATCCTGAAAAAACGGAATTTCTTAGTTTTGTTTCCTGTTCTTTCTTATTTAACTAGTTCTATTGCTTCGTCTTCACGGTTCTTTCCATTTGTTTAACTTTTTGTTTTCCTCTTCTACGTTACTCTTCATAATGCGTGAACCGTTTATAAATATAATTTTTGTTTACAAATATATTCAATCCTGCGCTTTTTAGTTACTAATACTTTCCTTTAATTTCAGAACTTTTTACCCAAAAACTTCAAAATTTCAATCATTTTACCCAAGAACTCCTTAATCTCAGAACCTTTTACCCAGACACCCTCTAAATTTCAGAACTTTTACCAAAGAACTCAATTTCGGAACTTTTTATTCAAGAACTCCTAAATTTCAGAACCTTTTACCTAAAAACTCTTAAACTTCAGAACTTTTTACTCAAGAACTCCAAATTTTCACAGAATTTTACCCAAGAACTCTTCGATTCAAGAGTTGTTTACAGAAGAAATCTTAAACTTCGAAGCAACAAACCGAAGAACGCCACGACTTGGGGTCATTTAAAACTCTTGAGTTTCAGAGACGGAGAGTTCCACCTCGACATTTTCAGACCAAGTAGTTGACGCCCCAGGCGGGCAGTGACCTGAGCCAGAGGACGCTGGAGGAAGAGAGAGTGTGTCCGGCTGGTGGGGGGAGCCAGCGCTGGTCGCACCAGGAAGCT